TCGGTTACAGCCAGGAGAAAATTAGTCATGGAGAAAGAGTGTGCCACATGCTCCACAGAGAGAAAATATGGTTCTTCACAGGTTCTCTTCATCATTCCTCCATGTGAAACCTCTCCCCAACTGCGCAGGGCCTGATTCCCTGGCCAGGCCCCCAGGTTTAGGCTGGCATAGGAATGCTCTGATGTGAGCCAGGGATGAGCAGGTGACTGACGTTACAAACACCCACAAGCTGGAAAGCTTCGAAGGCCTTTGGTTCAACTACAGTCTCTGCACTGCACCATCCTCCCCCAAACACAGGAAAGAGACTGAGAACGAGATGGCCCCCTGCCATAGATACATCTTCAGTGCACTGGAGAGCTGCCTCTTTTCAGGTCTGCAGACACAGCAAACATCGCCACAACCTGCTCTGAGCATCTGCCGACCCAGTTGGCAGTGACAACAGAAGGTCTTCAGTGACAACAGAATCCAATAGTTTCCAACCTGCCAAACCTATCTCAGCATAGCAGCTCCTTTTCCAGGTTCTATTTAACTTTCTTTGACCCAACTAGATATCTGGATATTAAGGCTCTTTTTACAATATGAACACAGACAGTCACTCCAAACACGGTATGTAGTTTTGCTTGAAATCAATAAACAGGTTGCACCCATTGGTTTGGAAAGAAGCACTCTGCTTCACAAACAAGGAAGTCCAGCATCCAGATTCTCACCATCCCCTGCCGTTCATACATTTAGCTAACAAACTTTTATTTTATACCAACCCTGTATAAGATGCTGTGCCAGGGACTGTCTGAGTACAAACAGGCCCATTTCGTTCAATAGAGGACTGGGATTTTCTTCACCTCGTAACACAGAGTGTGTTCTCTGTCAGTGATACAAAATGAAGAGAGCACCTCACAATTAACAGGTGTCTCACATAGGTAAAATACAGCACCAGACACAGACTCTGCTCTCAGGTAGCTTACAGAGGTTGCAATTACTGTGCTGATAGCTGGTCTTCCTCATCCTCAGGAAGAAACCCAAGATTTGGTCTGGAAAACCTAAGCCTACTTTTCATAAGGCAGCAAACTGTCCTGCAGAGTACACATGCCCATCTCCCAGGCTCAGCTAAGATACCTTACAAGATGAGTGAGTCAGACAGCAGATATATGGAGTCCAAGAACCTTGGAAAAGTCTTCTAGGAAATACTCTAGTGCTAACCATGAGAGCTGATTTTCTCTTTCTTTCTTTGACTAATTTTAGCATTGCAAAGCACAATCTTTTCTCTTTAAGAGAAAATGCATAAATGAAAAAATAATCCCTCTAGAAGGCCAGGGACGTTTCCGGGGAGCAAAGAATTCTTCTTCCACTGGCAATAAAAAAAAAGATGGGGGGCAGGGGAGGCTAAAGAATTTTCACCTGAATTCCCAATCTAAAAAATCTCAAACAGTAAGCATAGGAGGAAGCTTGGAACTATCTTAAAAGTACTAGATAATGCTATACAAATTTCTGCCAGAAAAACTTAAAGGTGTTTACAGGTACTAAAGAGGCAGCTCAAGAAAATGATCAGAATTGGGCATATCAACCTCACAGCAATGACAAGTCACATCTCCAGACCCCCAAGGCAAACTAACGTGAAGAAAGACGGTTGTGGGCACTGCAACTGCGAGATCAATGTAGAGGCTGGCAAACACTAACTGGGCTGTTGAAAGGGCAAGAGCGGCACCCTGCTGTCATCTAGTAAGGAAAGCACAGGCATAGCAGGCAGCGCAGCGTGTCCTGACCCAGCTCAGCAGGCAAGCTGGCCGCCATGATGAATTTGGAGACCGCACCACCTAACTTTTGGCTTCCCACATCTGGCGCTTGATCCAGGCTGATCCAGCTGCATTCCTGAGCATCAGCACACAGGCTTTTCCGCTGATGTTTTTCCCTGTTGGGGGAAAAAATGTGCTCTGAACTGAGGAGGTGCAGTGCAGGGGTGGGGAGATGAATGGCCAGGCAGAGCTGACAGAGAGTTATAAATGCATTGCTGGAGGAGAAGGTAATGGGCCAAGCACGCCCAGCTCCATGGAGGCCGCAGGAGTCCAGGGATGCTTTGGCAGCAGGGTGAGTGTGCGTACTGACCCAGAAAATGCAGGGCTTGTTTGCAGAGCTCAGAAAGAGCCTTCCAGCAACCTGATGTCTTCCCCCTGGGATGTCAGGACCGCTTAACGCAAAGTCTGATCCCTGGGGTGCGGAGTCAGACATTCCTTCTCTTTTCTGCTGTGTGTCAGCTCACATTGTCAAAAGTCTTTGTTTCCTAACTGAATCCCATCAGCGTGGCTGACTGCCTCACTTACGTGAAATGAAATGAGCTAGGAAACAAGTTTCTCAACAAGGCTGCATTCTCCAGGGTGCTAAGAAGGGCAAAGCTAAGCTTAGCCCCTGCGGGGGGAGGGGGTGTGGGGGGATCCTATTTATTGTTTCATAAGAACATTACCAACAAAAACCAAGAAAAAGAAGTCTCTCCTTCAGCCTGATCAAAGAAGTCTGAATCTATCGCACTTGCACTGCACACATCAACATCCTGTGGCAAAGACACAACTGTGCACCAACTTGTGAGTGAAAGGATTCCAGTTGGGAAAGTTAGATTCCTCATTTATTAAAAGAGAAGACTTGCTAAGACGACCTCGAAGGTTCTAGACGAACTCAGAAGTTCTATAGACCCAAGATGAAAATCATCACGGGCTAAAGGAACACAATCCCAAACAGTTAATCCCTCACATTCATTCACCTGACCAGTTATCTCCAGCCTCCTTCGATGAGCAGCACATGGGGCCTTGCTGATGCCTGGTAGGCACCTACTGCACTAGGGAAAGGGCGTCCACCACAGCGAGAGCTCACAGTGTCCTCAGGAACTTCGCCTACTTCATACAAAGCCAGCCTCGCCACATTCCAATTCTCTCCCGAGGCTTCCTCTTCAGCCCATGCCAGTTTAGCTAGGGCTTGTGCCTGGGGTCCCCAAATTTTGGTGAGTACCTGGGAGAGCACCTGATGATGATCTGAGGCTGGAGAGGTCCAAATAAACATTCTGAACACAAAGACATGGATCAACTTTTGTTTTTTAATTAACTCCTTAACACTAACTTTGGCCTTGAGTTCCCACAGCCTCTGAATTATAATCCAACTCCATGATCAGTGTTTGGTCCAGATGCTTAAAATCTAAAAATTAAATTTTCACTGAGGCCAGATAGATATTTTTGGATTGCAATGTTTAAGCACAGTGAGTTGTACTCCATAAGCACCAATAGGGGGATACACATATATAAATGACCAAGGACACTAAATTTTAAACCTTTAGGAACACAGCACCCCACCAGCCACCTCCACAAGCTCAGTCCAGGGCTGTTAACATCTTACTTTTCCAAGGATTTACGAAATGTTGGGGGGCAATTTCTAAAGGTGATTACTGTGGTTTACCATATCTGAAGAGGGTGGTGGCCTTTTCACTGTCCCTTCTGAGGATTCTTTGTGATGCTGGCCACCGCTGAGCCAATTTTTCCTGCCCTGCCACACAGTAAAAGTCCTCTTATGTCATTATTTTTCCCACATCTAAATGTACCTTTGGGAAGGAACCAAGTGCAGCTCTGTGGATGAAACACCTGTTGCTGAGATCATACAGAGCTGTGAATACACGGACACTAGAGACCTTTCAGGCTGGGGCACTGCTGTGGACCAAGAAGCCAGTGTGGGCAACCATCACCGGAAGGGCAATCAGACTTGGCACAGGTTCCGGCAGGTGCCCTCTGTGTCCATTTAAAAGGGCCACAAGAAAAGAAGAATGTGACTCCAACACGAGCACCACAATGTACAGTAGAATAATCTTTTCTTGGAGGTGTCCCTGTCCTTCCCTGAGAATGAGGGGGTAGGTAGGGATAGCTGATGTCAAAATAAAAACCATAAGAAGTACCTACTCTCGAGAGCTCTCAATGGCAGAGAGTGTGAATTCTCCAGCTCGTAACCCATGCACAACTGCAAAGGGCATGCAGACACACTACTGCACGATTTTTTCCCCTTCTGTGTGCTACACCCGTTACCAGCACAGAACCTTCTGTGTGCTTTGTCCCAGCTGATGAACAACTTGGAGCAGGGGGTTGGGGACAGACAAGACTCATGTTACCTACCTTTATGCTTTTCCTGGTAAGAACTCTGTAAGAAATCCAACCTCGGGGACACAATTCGGGAACAAGGAGAAACACATTGCTCAGCATAAGGCTAAACCTGTCCTTTGACAGCAGGACCTGGCCTGAGCTGCCTCTCCCAAGTCGTGAGAGAAGGCGGTAGAGACAGGGTGGGAGCTGCAGGGACCCCTCTCCCACTGACCTCTTCTGGAGAAAAGATACTCACGGCCATCCTGAGAGGTCCTGGGCTCTCTTTCCAGGCCATGCCTAGCCTTGATACCAGAGTGCTGGTTCAGAAACCTCAACCCACAGTGCTTTGGAAAGGGAGAGAAAGCATATTGCCATGGGGAAGTCAATTTGTGTTGTCTGAAGAACCTGCCCGGAGTCTTCACTGTATCCTCCGAGCTCTGAAATTTCCCCCCTTAGCAAAGTACCCCACAGTCACCCACTGACATCCTGGGTAGAGTGGTGCTGACACCTAGGGGTAGATACAGAGTCATCCCTGTGTCCAGAGAATGGCTGGAGCTGTGGGCTGGAGAACCGAGTGCGGGAGAGGGGCTGACCTCCTCCGCTCGCTTGCAGCTTCCCAGGAGTTGGTGTGTGGCTCTAGCCCCTCCCTGGCTGTCCCCATGCCCACCTCAGAGAAAATCCCCCTGACCTGTACTTCAACACTCCCCACGCATAAATCAAAAGCAGTTTGGGCTGTCTTCCACCTGCCTGACACAGGCAGCATTCAGGAGAAGATGGAGGTGAAGAATGTAAAGGTCCAGGCAGATGGACCCACAGGCACTGTCCCTGGGGACACCGGCCACAGGAGTCAGGGATCCAAAACACCCCCAGAAGTAGCCAGGGACACTTTCTTACCAAACTCGCTTGCACAGAGATGCTCAATAATAGCCTCGGATTTCAACTCGTTGTCACACGGAGGACACACAGTTGTACCTAGGGAGGGAAATGGGGAAGAACAGAAGCAAGCTGTAAGTTCAGGGTTCCTCTGAGGAGAGGATCAGCATGGGCAGCAGGCTGGCAGCAGATAAGGCCTTCTAGAATTTCTGAAGGTTGGCCTGAGATTTGAAAAGAAGGGCCCTGGATCCCAGGATCTAAGCCATAAACAGGCAAAGCATTTCTCTGACTATTCCGGTCTAAAGAGGCTGAATGTGACACATTTAGACTAATGCTCTCCTAGGTTCTGACAGTGGTTCCTGGGAAGTGTGGCTTGAGGACTCCTGGGAGCCCCTAGAAAAAGCTGCCTAATAAACTGAAATGGCTCCTCCAGGTGTTTGCTTCTGATCCTTTTCCCCATTCTGTAAATGCCCCTGTCTGATTCCTGCCCCCTTTCATGCACAAACTTCCAAGAAGGCCCATCCAGGCCACCAGCTCTTTAGCAGCTAAGAGACAAAGAAATGGACTCGGGAGTTTGGCTGTGGGCTCTGAGGATGTGCCCTAGAGGTCTGGCTGCTGCGGAAGGAGCTCCAGGAGCAATATAGCTGGCTGGGGGCAGGGAGCAAGGCAGAAGCCACCAAACAGAGGAGGGAGCTGGCAGGGGGCACCCTCTGAGGGTCCTTCCTGAGGGACTGTGAAGCCTTTGAAGAGGAGGGCCATGGGGCAGGCAGGCCCTGGGAGGGCTGCCCCCGGGGGAGGAGACCTCTGAGGCCAGAGCCAGCAGAGTGTGAGCCAGAAGGGCAGGGGGACGCACCCAGTGGACCCTGTAGGACCGAAATGGGTTGACTGTTGTCCTCCTACTCTTCAGTGTCACCTTGCAAATAACTCCAGATTCAAAGCAGCCCTAGGAAAGCACAGCACACTGTAAGGTCTGTCCACACAGCACCACTCATTTAAGCTGGGCTGGCTGCAGTTAAAAAACCCAGGACCACGGACCCTGAGACAGGAAGGGGTTTCTCCCCCGTCCTTGTCCCCTGCCCTTCTCCAGTGGCTTCCACAGCAGCACCTCCCCTCCCATGGGGCCCAGTGGCTCTGACCCTGAAGTGGACAAAGCTTCCAGGATATAGCAGGAAGAAGCTCCACGCCTGGATTCCTGCAGGCACAGTGGCTGCGCAGCGCTCTCCAGCTTCTGAGGAGGAGGCTGCAGGCCGGGCAGAGGTCGCACCCATGCATCTGCTCAGTCTCTTCACCCCCTGCATGCAGCCTGGCAAAGAGTTTCCCAGGACAGCGAGGACACATTCCTCGAAGGAACAGCAGAACTCTCTGAGGAAAAACTATCCCCAAAACTTGAGACTGGATCCTGGAGATGACGTTTCTTACCAAAGAAAAACCTTGCCCAGAATTTCCTATCTTGGCTCTTGCTTCCATGGGGAGAGGAAAAGGGAAAAGGCCTGAGCAACCCCAAGAGTGAACTGTACTTTGCGCTTTCCTTGTTTAGTTGTTTATAACACTTGTTTATGTTTTTAAGTAGAAGTTAGAGAATTGAAAAATTCTACATATGTAATGTCAACCCAAGATGTAGCGAGGTCAGGGCCCCCGCATAGAAAGGCTAGGCCTCGTCCCTCCCAGGTCGCCACAGCTCCTGACCCACAGGCTTCGTGCTGCATGAGGGCATTTTCCTGTCATCTTGATCCGCACCCCCCTCCCCCATTTAGACTTCAAGGACCCTCAGTAGACCTTTGGGAGCTCAGTGTGTTTTTCAGCATGGCTTTCCCTGTCTCTGCTTTTCTTACAGCCAGGCTCTAGAGCAGCTCTGCCCGGAGCAAAGAGAGGAATGTGTAATGCTATGTTAATCTGTACCTCCTCAAGTGTGTGTGACCTGGGGGCTGCCCCTGAGGGCTGCTTCAGTGGGAGAAACCCACTCAGTCTGAAAGGCAGCCAAGTCATTGCCTTAAGGTGTGTTTAAAATAATGTTTAAAGTGGATAAACAAAAAATGACCAAGTTCTGTGTTTTATTAATATTTTAGGAGACAGAGCCTAACACTGGAATCATGATTAAGTGAACTTTTTAAATTAATCTGTGCACACAGACAGACACACATACACGCACATGCACTCATACATATATAGCCGCTCTTCCCTAGACAGCTGATTGAGCAATGGGCGAGGAAAGCATCTGAAAAAAGCCAGGTGGGGAGCTGGTAGAACCACGTGTGTAGTTCCACACTCTGTGACTAAAACAGCCAGCGGGACTTACTGCATGACATGCTTAAACAGCAACAGCAACCTAAGGCACTCCACCAGAAAACCTGCCGGGAAAGGAACAGTTTATTGGTCTGGGAATTAACAGGTTTAATGTGAGTGTGAGACTTAGAAATAACCTTCCTGGAAAAAGCACAACTGCCCATTCCAGAACAGAACAGAAGCTGACGTGGCTTGGGCATCTGCCTTTTGGGAGAAAAATATCTTTGAGTCTTTTCTCATTATCAAGTTTATCCTTAATAACAGGTTGCTGGTACCCCCAAAACCCCACATGCTTAGGTATGTAAACAGAAACAAGTCTGCAGGATGGGAGGGTGTTTATACTGCACTGAAAACTGTTTTAACTTCAAAGGATAAAAAGAATAAAGATAAATGAATAAAAGATCAGTCCATAGGTATTATGTTCATTGTAGCACTGGGAAGTACTACTAGTTCTTGTCCCAGAGTCACCAGCTATGAGGCACTGAGGATGAGTGTTGAGCCTGTCTCAAATGGTCCTTACACACACACACACACACACACACACTTCCAGCCCTCCAGGCTCAGTAGCCAGGCAGCTGGGGATAACATGAGGGGCTGCAGTTCTGGGCAGGGACCTGTGCCCTCTCAGGACACAGCCTTGCTCCAAAATCACAAGGGAGCCCTGTCCCAGGACCCACTGCTGACCGACCATCTCGGGTCAGCACAGAGCTGGTCTTGGCAGGGGTGGCCTGAACCCAGGTCCAGAAGGAGAGAAGACAAAGGGACAGCAGCCTTGGGAAAGGCACCCAGGGGTCAGCAACCATGGGTTTCCCCACCTCCACAGTGGGCTTTGGGGAAATCTTTCCCCTGTGACCAGGCACCACCCTGTCCTCTCCTTCATCCTCCCCTAGGACCTCAGCCACCACACAGGATGCTCCCCAGAGGTCTCTGCTTCCGTCCACCAACAGCCCCGGGGAGAGTCCATCACAGGTCACCAGGAATAGGTTCAGCCCAAGCAGAGTTGGCCACAGCATACAGAGCAGCGCACACACCCCCGCTGCTGAGAAGAGGAGACAGAAACCTGACCACTGTAAGGGGCAGTTCCATACCAGCCGGACACAAAGTGCTTTGCTTTGGGTCACTGCTCAGAACTGATTTCAAAGCGCTGCCCCTCGGAGGGCTAAGCCCAAGAGCGCAGGTGCCCAGGCCGAGCCCGGCCCCTGCCGGCAGGGCTGCCAACCGCCCATCCGGGCTGTATCCATCCCCGCCCCACCCTGACTGTACGCTGGGCCTTCTTCCTCCAAGGAGAAGCAAAAGGCGCCAAGTCGGGGCATCTTTTCCCCTACATCGAGCCCCAGCCTCGCTCTGGAAAGCAGCCAGGTCGGTCCTGCTTTTAGCAGCAGTCGTAACAGAAGTTAAGACACTGAGCGCTTGCAGAGGAGCTCGGCTGTCCCGGCCGGCAAAGCCCCAGGAAGCAGGGCGCTGGGCTAAGCGCACCTGGTGCAGCTCTCTGTCTCAGTCCTCCGCCCATCTCCGAGTGTCAGCTCCGCCTGGAAGGGATTTCAGCCTTAATTCTTCCCTATGAAAGCTGGGCCACGGGCTGGGGTGCTTTGGTTTTTCTGTCTGCCGGGATTTTTTTTTTTTTTTTCTTTTTCTTTTTGGTTCCACTCCAGAATGGCCCTTTGAGTAGGAGAAGATTGAGAGGAATCTCAAGTCCCTCGAGGGGGTTAGGAATTCACAGAGCCCAATTTGCAGCACCCACTCCCCACCGCGGAGACCAACAATGAGCTAATTACATTTTTATCTTTCTAATTACCTGAGGATTTGTGTGACTGAGAGGAGCAGGGGATGTGCGAGGAAGTTCCGAAGCTCCCTCTCTAAACAGAGCTGTTTGGGAAAGGGTGAAGAAATCCCCGCGGTGTCTAAACACCCGCTACCCGACTCCCAGTCAGTTTCGTGCAGCTACAGGAAGTTTGCAAAAGCCGCTCTCCAACCTTATGGAAATAAAGCCTCGCCTAGCTTCGCTCGGCCGTGCAGAGCTTTGCGCACCGGGGTTCGTGTTTTCCCCGCCGGAGCTTCCGCGTCTAGGAGAATTACAAACTTTGGCGCGGGACGGGCAGGTCCTACCCGGACCGAGGCGAGCTCTTCGGATACGCAAGTGTGAGGCGCGGCTTCGGTACCGAAAGGGGGGACCGGATCGAGTACTGCCGCTCTCGCACCTAGCAAGCCCTCCCGGCCCGGGTCCTCAGGGGCGCCGCGCGAAACCGGGGCGCTCTCGGCCCGCGCTCGGTCTGCGCGCGTGGGAGCCCGCGGGGGGCCGGGGCGCCCTTACCTTGGGGCCTGGAGGCTTCGGTGGCATTGGGCGGGCTCATGGCGATGCAGACGTCCCCCTCGGGGAACTTGTCGCACTTGAGCATCTCGGGCCAGTAGAAGCCGAAGAACTGCATGACGGGCTCGCAGGAGTCGCGCACGGCCTCGCAGAGCCAGCGGCACGGGTAGATGGGCCGGTCGAGGCACACGGGCGCGAAGAGCGCGCACAGGAAGACCTGCGTGCCCATGTGGCAGTTCTTGTTGAGCAGGGGCACCCAGCTGCTGGCCTGCTGCTTCACCTCGGCCATGGTCTCGTGCTCCAGCAGGTTGGGCAGCACCATCCGCTTGTAGCCCACGTTGTGGCACAGCCGCAGGTCCGCCGGGATGTCCACGCACTGCGGCGGTTTGGTGTAGAAGCGCCCGCTCTGGTACGCGCCGATGTCCGACTGGAAGCTCACGTAGTCGTACTCGCTGGCCGAGCCCGCGGCCAGCAGCCCCGCAGCCAGGGCCAGCAGCACGCCCCCCGCGCCGCGTCCGCTCCCCATGCCGGCGACGTGGGGCCCCGCGCGTCCCGCAGCGAGCTCGCAGGAGGCTCCGGGACAAAAGACGCCGCGGCGGCCCGGCCCGGCGCGCGGCCTCCGCTCTCCGGTCTCCGGCCGGGCCTGCGCGGGCCGGCGCGGGCGCAGCGGCGGGGCTCCGCGAGGGCGTCCCGGTCCCGAGGCGCGGGGTGCGGCGGCGCGACGGCTCTGCGCGAGCGGACGCGAGCGAGGCCGGGCCGGGCCGGGGCGCCGCGCGGGTGGCCGGGCTGAGTCTCCGCGCGCAGCCAATCAGCGCCCGGCTGCGCGGCCGCCCGCGGCTCCGACCGTCACCGGCGCCCGGAGCCAATCGCCTCCCTGGCGGCGGTTCGGCCCGGAGGGAGCAGCTCAGGTCCACACCCCTCCGGGAGCAGCCGCGAGGATACGGGTAGGGGGAGGTGCGGGGAGAGCGGAGGCGAAGAAGAGGGCGCTGGCGGTCGTGGGGTGTGCGAAGGAGGTGCTCGTGATTGACGCGGTTCGGCGTGCGGGGAGCCAGCCTCCCAGCTAGGGAGACTGAGAAGGCCGCCTTGCACTTCCCGATTTCCAGCACGACGCTCAGCTCGCAGAGCCGCTCCGAAGTTTTGTTCCCCGAGGCTACAGCACAGAAAAGTGAGGGCCGGCTGCTTGGGATCCCCTGTCGCCCCGCAGAGCCAAGGAAGGAAGTTTCGGGACTTCGAACCCTGTTTGATCAAATGCAACATAACCCCAGGCGCACCTGGTGCCCAGCACCCTCACCGCCGTCGGTGGGAAATCTCCCTCAGAAAGGTGTCAGCCCTGGGAGGACAGCTTTAAAAATCTTTTCTCAAGAGTTTTTTTTTTTTAAATCCCAACTCAAGTCTCAGCCTGGCCAACAGCATGTCTGTGTGTGCACACATATATGCGTTGACATGTTTGTGGTGTGGAAAGCCAAGACATTAAAAACACATGTGCACTTATCAGCAGCGGCCTGTGTAAATACGAAGTCCATCACTCAGGCGCACAAGCTAAGTTCAGGTCAAAACCAGAGGTCCCACCAAGGCAGCTGATGGATCAAACCAGCCTGGCTGCCTCATCTGTGCCTAGGAGCAGGAGACCTGCCGTCTCTCTCCACTGCCCTCCTGGGCTTTCTTTGTACTGCCTGTTTCAGGCATCCCCTGGGGAAGGAGGTTGCAGTTCCTGTGAGCTGGGAACACCGCCACAACTGACCCCGGGCCTGCAGACGCCATGTGGCTGGTGCCCCACTGGGGTTCCACATGCTTGTGCCCCTAAATGTGAGTGGGGGAAACCAAAGACCCTAACCACCATGTGTGAGCACCATGGAACCACCCAGGTGACAGATGGAATCTGGGGCTTGGAGGTGCAGCTCTGCTGGGCTGGCTTGTTTGTAGAGCTCTGGGGAAGCTGGCTTTGGGTTCTGCAGACCTCATTTCTTTGGCTTTGTTTGTTTTTTTCTTTTTGGGTATCAGTGATTGAACTCAATACCTCTCACTTGTCAGGCAGGCACTTGTGCAACCGAGCTAAATCCCCAGCCCCCAAGATCTCATTTCTTAATGGAGAGATTCCAAGTAAAACTACTACAGTCTGTGAAGAAACAGGGCTATTTCTTTAAAGCAGTTGTGTCCCCATGGAGGGCGCGAGTCCGCTGCACAAGCAAGGAGCGTCTCTGCAGAGACACACTTGGCCAATGGTATGGTTCTCTTGTCTTTTTTAGACTGGTGAGAGCCACCCATGAGAGGGGCAAGGTGGTGGCAGTGAGACAGAATACAGAGCAACATTTTGGCTGGCCAAGGGTTAATCCGGAAACAATTGGTAATCTCAGCCTGAGGAGCCGGAGGACATTCCTCCCAGAGAATAGACCACAGGAGACCAGGCAACTGTGTCTCCATTCAAAGAGCATTTAGAGAAAAATGCTGTTTTGTAGGGGGTCCCTCCTCCTCCCAAGGCCAGGCCCTCAGTCCCATGCCCTGTGTGGTGTTTGTACATAACATTCTCTCACCACTGGATCCAAACTTTGCTGACCCCTCACTTGTGTTTATACAACTTTCCCAAATGGTAGGAGGATTTGGTAAGGCTGCAGTCAAAAAACTGAAAATTAGTCCATCTCACTGTATCTTCTCCAGCCTTCCAAGTCCCAGTTGAGAGGCACTCTCACAAATCCATTCAGAGAAAAAATCTAGCCTGTTTCTGGTCACCCTACATTGACATGGACTGGGACCCCCCAGTCCCCATCGGCCTCCCTTCTTCTCCAGTGGTCTTGCTGCTCCAGAGCTGCATCTCCAGGGTTATGGCAGTGATGCAACCAGATCCAGGGCATCCTGCTCCTGTGTCAGTGTCAGTGGACCCTGAGTCCCGAATGTACTAATGACTGGCTCCTTCCAGCACTCTGCAGGACAAAAAGGACTCGAGGTCCCAGTGACAGCCTTGAATCATGCCTTGGTCTCCAGAGAGCTGCTTCTGGTCAATACACATATGGAGAGCAGGACTAGGCAGAAAGAACCTCACATTCCTGAGACACTGTAATGGTTGATACATTGTGTCAACTTGAGAAGTCTAGATGCTCAACTAACTGAGCAGCTGTACATCCTAGGGTGTAAAGGACATGTCCTTACTGCACTAGGATGTTGTTCATAGGTAAGTAACTCAGCAGGGAGCTGAGTTACCTTGTAAACATCTTTATCCTGTGCAAGAGGAGGACATGGAGATAGTGAGAGGGCCACACCTGCCCAGGGACAGGGTGGCCTGCATACATTATGAGGGAGGAGCAGAGGCTTGTTCTCCCTATTTTGCTCTGGCTGCTTTCGTTGGCTGCTGCTGCCTTGAAGCATTGCCCCTGTGCCATGCCAGCCTGCCTTGGAATGAGCTGATTGTGGACTAAAACCTCCACAAACTGTGAGCTAAAATTCCCTCTTTAACTTTAGGTGTCTGGTATTTTGTTTCAGCTATGAAAGAAAAGTAAAACATTATATTTTTGCCCTTTTTTGCATTGCCAAGTCTTCATACTTAACAAATCCAGTCGACCTTTCTCTAATGGGGTATTTGTGTGTTTGTGTGCCTGAACATACACGCGTACACAGGGAAAGTCTGAAGACCGAAGCTCTTTGAACATGCCATTGACTCCTCCCCAGCTCCCAGAAAAAGGGGTTCCCTATGTCAGAGTTGGTCTGGAACCTCATGCCTCCCTCTTTATGCAGTGGTTGAAATGAACCAGGGCCAATACAGCTTTATGTTTCTCACTTCAAAACAAGTTCTACGCCAGGTGTGGTGGCTCACACCTGTAATCCCAGCACTTGGCTGGAGGATCATTTCGAGTTCGAGACCAGCCTAGGCTACAAAGTGAGCTCAAAGCCAGCCTGAACTCCATAGAGAGAACCTGGATCAAAAAGAAAAAAACAAGTTCTGCTTTTCCTACATTAACAGGTTCCCATGCCTGAAAACCAGAAGTGAATGTCCTGTTGCTTCACAGCACAGCTTAGGGAGGTATTTTTCAGCATACACACATGCACATACAAGCATACACATACACACCAGAGGCCCAAAGCTGACTTCAAGCCAAGCCGGGTCATCTAGGGGTCTGGTAGCCTCTTCCCACCCCGAGAGCTCAAGGCCGGGCTGGGAGAAGCCTTTGTTTTAGGACTTGTCCGGAGACACCCTCAGCGCCTGTTCATCCTCTATCAGGACAACAGCAGGACTGAAGGATGCCTGCCTGTGGTTGGGTGGCAGCGCATCTGGCACAAGGCCAGAGAAAGTGTTCTGGCTGAGTTGAAACAGTGAGATGTGGCCTCAGTTCTGCTCCCACAGGCTGGGGGTGCCCAGGATGCATGCCCCCCATTCCTGCTCCTCACTGGCCTTAGTATTCTTACCTGTAAAGCCAAACCCTGATGCCTGTTCCGCTGCCCTGCTGAAATGAAGGATGTGAGTCCTCGGTGTCAAGGCTCACAGGAGGTACAGTTAGGCCTTCGGTCACGTTCCCAAAGCTAGCAGATGTAGTGGATGCAAGACATCATCAAGCCCAGCAATCTTCTTACTTGGACATGCTTCTTTCCCCTACCTCTCAGACAAGCAGTCTCAATCACCTAACTCTTTCAAGGACTGACTGGACATGCTACTGGGCTTTGAGCTGTCTGGGAAGAGTCTCAAAGAATTGAAGTGGCATCCAGCCAGGCCACTCGCTGGCACCTGCGTCCCCTGTGCATCGTTCTTGATGAGCACTTACCAGCTGCAACTGCTGGAGCCCTCCGCTCCTTTAGGACCCAGCCACCAAGGGGAGGCACTGCACTAGGATATTCTGTCCTGTGGAGGGAAACTTTGAGTTCCTCCCTCGGCCGTGAGCAGGTGAGCAGTGACCGGTGACAGGACCATCAGACAGCCCTGCCTGGCGAGCTGGTGTCTGTCCTGTGTCTGGTCAGAAGGATGCATGGAGCTACCCTGCAGGGGATACTTGGTCAGACTGGGTTTGACAATTTTTAATCATTTGTGGATGTAATAATTTACTTGTTATTATACAAATTGTAGGTTTACATACTATCTTCCAGAAAGAGAACAACTAAAATTGAAAAGCAAATTTTAACATGATTTTTAAATAGAAAGAGGAGTATTAAATTGTCTATTTCTCTAATCTGAAGTGTCACACTCATGAATCCCAATTGCCCTCCAAAGTCCACTCGTCCCTCCCGTAGCCCCTCTAACCACCCAATCTCACCATCCAGTCCTGCCCCCCTCACCCATCTCTGGCAGGCACTGTGTGCTCTTTTCCTGGTCTACAATGCCCTCCATGACCTTTATACCAACTCTTTCACATTGGGTTCCAGACTTAGCAAATGAAAATAGAGAATGCCCAAAGAATGTGGCTTTCACATAAGTAATGAATAATTTATAGTCCAGGTATATCTCATGCACTATTTGGAACCTACTTATACTACAAAATACCTCTGGTTTATCTAGATTTCAAATTTGTAGCCATCTTTCGTTTCCTCCTGGTAGCATTTCCTCTGCTCAGTCTTAGCTAACTTCCTGTCAGCTCATCATTTTCCTCTCCTATCCCTCATTGATAGATAGCCCTCTGCTCCCTGTGGCCAGAGCACCTGAGCCATACCTTAGCAGACAAGAAATGCATAGTTGCTGGCTTCT